AATAGACAACTGGCTCGGCACCAGTAGCACAGTGGTTATGGCGCCAGCCATATACATGAGGCTGGTGGGTTCAAACCTGGCCTGGGCCAGCTAAAGCAACAATGACAACTGCAACAACAACAAAAAAATAGCCGGGCGTTGTGGCAGGCACCTGTAGTCTCAGCTACTTGGGAGGCTGAGGCAAGAGAATCACTTAAGCCCAAGAGTTGCTATGAGCTGTGATGCCATGGCACTCTACCAATGGAGACATAGTGAGACTGTGTCTCAAAAAGAAAAAACAACCAAAAAAATATAGACAACTATTTTAAATCATACACGAATCTTATGGACACTCTATATAAATAGGTATCTTCTAAAATTAGCCTTGAACTAAATGCCCTTCCCTCTTTGACATGAGAATCTATCCGGAGCAATGTGGACTGATCCCTTCATGATACTAGAAACAAATTCTTCTAGAGAACATAGCACATTCTGGAACTTGGGTGTTAATGAGTGCCAAGTGAGTTGTATCAAGTAGGTGCTACTATTATTACTTTTTTTTTTCCTGAGACAGAGCCTCACTTTATTGCTCCAGGTTAGAAGACCATGGTGTCAGATCACAATAACCTTATACTCTTATGCTCAAGCAATCCTCCTGCCTGAGCCTCCCAAGTAGCTGGGACCACAGGAGCCCACCACAAGGACTGGCTAGTGTTTCCATTTTTAGTAGAGATAGGAGTCTGGTCTTGCTCAGGCTGGTCTTGAACTCCTCAACTCAAGCAATCCTCCCACTTTAGCCTCCGAGAGTGCCGGGATTTACAGGTGAGCCACCAGGCCTGCTGCATGGTGTAGATGCTGTTACTAACCTATGGAGGAGCACAGTAACTTGTCCAAAGTTACTTTGATCAAGTAACAGTCAAACAGCCGGAGCACACAACAGAACAGCAGCCTACCCTAGGCTGTCTGCGCCAGGCTCTTACTCTTAGCCATGCCTTGTTCCCTCCCAGTGCCATTAGCCAATTCTGTAAATATTCAAGGATACAAAGTGAGATCACAAATTCTGTGAAACAAAGGATTTCCTGAAGGCAGCAGAAGGGTACTGGAGAAGGGCTGGAATCACAACCCAAGTCAATGAACAATGAACTGTTGACAGAATCAGTTAACAATTAAAGAGAGGAAAACCGACAAGGTTTATGAAAGAGGACCATTGGACACAAATTATCTTATTGGAATTAAAACAATATTTACTAAGTACCTAAAATGTGTCAGACACTGTCACAAATGCTGTGTTTACAGCAGTGAACAAACCCCAAATCACTACCCTAGTGGAATAGATAGTTTGTGTAACAGACAATAAACAAGATTAATATCCTTATATATAGATTAAGAAAGCCACTGGGAAAAACTGAAGTCTTCAGACATCTTTGCAAAAATGGACCATTTCACATCCCCTTTCAAAAGCTAAATGTGATTCACGGGAAACGTGGTGCTAAACCATTTGTAGACAACCTGCTTCTGTGTCGGGGTTTGGGACGCAGCAGAGCAGCTCACTTATGGCAATCTATTGAAAGTCAGTCCTTGACATGAGTTTTTTTTTGAGATAGAGTCTTATTAAGTTGCCCTTAGTAGAGTGCCATAGTGTCACAGCTCACAGCAACCTTCAACTCTTAAGGCTTAAGCGATTCTCTTGATTGGGCCTCCCAAGTAGCTAGGACTACAGGCGCCCGCCACAATGTCCAGCTATTTTTTTTGTTATAGTTGTCATTGTTATTTGGCAGGCCCGGCTGCATTCGAACCCACCAGCCCCGGTGTATGTGGCCGGTGCCCTAGCCACTGAGCAACAAGCACCGAGCCGACATAAGGGCTTTTAAAAAACAAACAGAAGAAGAAGAAAAAAAAATTTTTTAAGCCAAATGTGAAATAAAAGACAATGTGATACGGCCATAAAACTATATTGAAAAAGGTATGAATATCCTTTTAAAAATCAGTATCTGAATCATTTTTGTCCATTATAAGAATTAGCACATAGTTGTGATTATAACCTCAATTTTATGATTGTTAGCTAAATACAAGTTAAAATACTTATTTCCTAATTTTCAGTTTCTTTTTTTTTTGAGACAGAGCCTCAAGCTGTCCCCCTGGGTAGAGTGCTGTGGCATCACAACTCACAGCAACCTCCAAATCCTGGGCTAAAGCGAGTCTCCTGCCTCTGCCTCCCAAGTAGCTAAAACCACAGGCACCCTCCACAATGCCTGGCTATTTTTTTTGGTTGCAGCCATCATTGTTGTTTGGCGGGCTCAGGCTGGATTCGAACCCACCACCTTAGGTATATGTGGCTGGTGCCTTACCCAGTTGAGCCACAGGCGCTGAATCTTCAGTTTCATTTTTGAACTTGAAGACCCGACCAAATTTCTTTTGTTTGCTATGCAATGTTGGCCCCCCCCTTTATAGTGGCTTAATTCTAGGTGACCCAGTTTTCTGCAACCAGCTACTGAGCAGAGACTGTAGTCATGAGTGGGAACAGGGGTGACCAAAGACCACAATCTGCCCAGCTATTGTGGGCAGAGGGCAATAAACTATTTTTGCACAATAAGTGAGGCAAGAGTTAGTAAAAGGCAAAGCCAGGTTTTATTTTATTTTTTGAGACAGAGTCTCACTATGTCACCCTTGGTAGAGTGCCATAGTATCACAGTTCACAGCAACCTCAAACTCTTGGGCTTAAACGATTCTCTTGCATCAGCCTCCCAAGTAGCTGGGACTAATGGCGCCCACCACAGTGCCCAGCTACTTTTTTTGTTGTTGTCGTCATTGTTGTTTAGCAGGCCCGGACCAGGTTCGAACCCACTAGCCTGGGTGTATATGGGCAGCACCGTAATCACTGTGCTACGGGTGCCCAGCCCAAAGCCAGGGTTAAGAATTTACTTTAAGGGGGCGGCACCTGTGGCTCAAAAGGGTAGGGTGCCAGCCCCATATGCCGGAGGTGGCGGGTTCAAACACAGCCCCAGCCCCCCCCAAAAAAAATTTACTTTAAGGGCAGCGCCTGTGGCTCAGTGGGTAAGGCGCTGGCCCCATATATCGAGGGTGGCAGGTTCGAACCCAGCCCTGGCCAAACGGCAACAAAAAAATATCCAGGCGTTGTAGCTCAAGTGGGTAGGGCGCCAGCCCCATCTACCGAGGTTGGCAGGTTCCAACCCAGCTCCAGCCAAACTGTAACAAAAAAATATCCGGGCATTATGGAGGGCGCCTGTAGTCCCAGCTACTTAGGAGGCTGAGGCAGGAGAATCACATAAGCCCAGGAGTTAGAGGTTACTAGGAGCTGTGACGCCATGGCACTCTGCTGACGGCAATAAAGTGAGACTCTGTCTCTAAAAAAAAAAAAAAAGGAAAAAAAAGTATAGGATCCTGAGGAAGGAAGGTCACTTGAGGCCAGGAGTTCAAGACCAGCCTGAGCAACATAGCAAGACCCCACCTCTATAAAAATAGAAAAATTAGCCAGTAGGGTGGCAGGTGCCTGTGGTCCCAGCT